GGTGGGGAGGGGAGGGGCTGGGTGGTGAGGGCTGGGTGGGTGGGGAGGGGCTGGGTGGGTGGGGAGGAGCTAGGTGGGGAGGGGCTGGGTGGGGAGGGTGGGGCTGGGTGGGGGTGGGAGGGGTGGGGCTGGGTGGGGAGGGGAGGGGCTGGTCACCCCGTGTTGCCCTTATAAAACTCAACGTTTAACCTACTCACGCCGGCTTGTGCCCGCTCTCACATTCGGGCATTTTTGCGGAATGCACCACGCCGCCGTTGACCCTGCCCATTGACCGAGCAACCCAACGTTCCTACCAGCTCTCTCCGCAAGAATGTGTTTCAGAAGCGACCTGGATATCACGAATGACAGCTCTACGAAGTGGCTTGTCACGTGTAAATTTAAAGCAGCCAAAAAAAGGAATATAAACGCGTGTTTCTAAACGTGGAGGGTAAAACCGGGAGAACACGAAAACTCTAAATATACAACAGGCGTAAGGGTCGGGATCGAACCCACGGTCTCCTGTATACCAGGCGAAGTAGTTAACATCTCCTAGTCACTGTGGCGCTCCAAAGATATCGCAAGCCAAGCAGGAATTTTGCCTGGATAGTGTTGGATGGGTCGGCTGCCAGACACGCAGCTGGTTTGCCATACAGAGGTGGTTTGCCTGCCGTGGTAAAGTTTTGTCCAGCAGGGTGACAACACCCATTGTTGTTCTGTACTTGTATGCTTTAACGTCTATGCACTTTCCGCCTTCATTAACCTAGACCAGCGTGCTGAAGTATGGTCAATCAATCCCCTACGAACGGCACAGGCGTGTGGGAGGCGGCCTTCATCCAGCAGTGAAGTGACATAAAGGGCTTGAGTTGACACGTGTTTACCAACACGCCATACACCGTTCTACCATGTAAACGCGTTCGTACGAAGCAAATCTCCCGGATTATAAGACGCATTTCCCATCTGCATGTGAAAGAGCAAGCGTTATTTAATTGTTTATCCAGGACAGCCACAACTGGGTCTAGGACTCTTTTTCACGGCGGGGTTCTGCATTGTAATTTTTGTTTTATTTTAAGATGTTTTTTTTTTCAGCCAATTATTGGTGCCTTTGAACGTGTGGAAGGAGAAACAAGAGCACCCCGAGAAAACCCGCGCGTGCGAGGGGGCAAAACACGAAATTGCTGTACAGATGGAAACAGATGGCGATGGGTCCACTTGCAGTACCGCCTTCTCCTGGTGAGCCAAGGTATGGTTTCCTTCCCGACCCCTAGGGAGAGTTTCACTTTCAGATGCGTACTATAATCGGGCAGGTGTGTGTATATATGTCTGCAGTGGTGTGGGGAGCGGTAGTGTAGCAAGGTGAGCGCTAAGTTGCACTACAGGTTCGATTCCCGCTCATGGCCAACGCCAGTGACAATTGTCTGAACCGGTCCTGGGCCTCCCCTAGGTCGACTCAGCCTCAAATGAGTACCTGGTGCAATGTATGTAAACATCGCCACTGGGGAGACAAAGGCGGCCGGGCGTGGTGCTGGCCACCCACCCCCTCGTGTGCCGTGCCGGCTTTCATAGGTGCTCGCTAACAGCACTTGCCCCAAAAGGCTGTTAAGGCTACACGTGGGATCATTGTGTATTTGTCTTCATTAGACAATAAATACTGTATCTCTCTCATTGACAGCGGGTTCTGTTACAACCTGAGAGCGGGGACACGTTCTGAGATGCGTCTTTTTTTTACGATCAGTGGAAACAAGAAGATGCTCGGTGTATTCGGCACTTTGCTTCGTTCATCATTTCGTAATTTTTTTAAATTAAATTTTTTAAAACTTGGCTTTATGTAAACTCCCCCTCTAGCTCACTCTCTCGCTCACTCTCTCGCTCACTATGCGTCTTACGATCCAGATAAATATGGCAACAGGGTATATACTCTGTAAACGCTCATGTAACGTTGCAACAGAGTGGAATAACACTAATATGTGTTGAGCACAGCCACGCGAAGCAACGCCTGTCGTATTTAAGACTTTGGCCGCAGCGTAATCATAAAAGTAACAAAAAAAATCGTTCACACCGTCGCTTTTGTGTGCGTTCGAGTTGCAATATCAAGGCAGACTATAGCTCGCGTTACCAGCTGCTCGTAAAAAAAAAATCAAGCGCTTTCATTGATTTATATCTGGACAGACTTGCATGCAGGGGGATAACTGCAACGATGATACGTACACGTCGTCTCGGCATCAGACCCAAAGGCCATCGATTGCACACATCCCTGTCCTACCGTCTGTCTGGTCTCTCATTCTCTCCCCTCTTCTTCATCTTCTTCTTCTCTCCACCTCCTCATCTCTTCTCCTTCTATCGCCTCTTCCTCCCCTCATCCCTCGCCACCAAACCACCCTCCTCCCTCTGCCCTTTTTGTTTTATGGCTGTAAGATCCGGAGTGGACTTGAAGCGCGGACGTCATCGCGGCTGTCCGCGGAGGGCAACTGAGCATGTGGGGCGTGAACGCACACAACGACAAAGACCCCCGTGTAGCCTGTACAGAGTGTTGGGGGCACGTGCTGTTAGCGAGTAGCACCTGTGAAGGTTGGCACGGCACACGAGCGGGTGGGTGGCCAGCACCACGCCCGGCCGCCTTTGTCTCCCCAGTGGCGATGCTTACACAGCGCACCGGGTCCTCATTTGGGGCTGAGTCGACCTAGGAGAGGCCCAGAACCGGTTCAGATAATCGTCACCGGTGTTGACCGTGAGCGGGAGTCGAACTGAGGTCGTCAGGCTCGCAGTGCAGCGTAGCGCTGACCGCTAACACTATCGTGAACACATCAAACACGTACACACACACATACACACACACACTCACGCAAAGTCAAATGCAAAGATCCCCCGTGCAGCCTCCATAGGCTGCTGGGGCAAGTGCTGTCCGCGCAAGAGGAGAGTGGTGTGGAAAGCACCACGCCCCAGGCTATATATTAATTTAAGGCTGAGTCGACCCAGGGGAAGCCCAGGATCGGGTTCAATTATCACTCGCCACCCATGATTGAATGTTGACCGTGTCCCAGAACCGAACTCGGTTTGTGTAGGGTTCGTAGGGCGGTGCGCTAACCACTACACCGCCGCCTCCACCCAAAGAAAAAAAAAGATCCCCCGTATAGCCTTCAACAGACTGCCGGGGCAAGTGCTGTCAGCGAGTAGCACCTACGAATGCCGGAACGACACACGAGGTATGGGGGGGGGGGGTACTGTACTGATTGATATTAGGTCCTCAAAGTGAAGCACTCATGTTGAGTCGAGGCCCACGAGACCGGTTCGTGCATTTGTCGCCGGTTTTGGCCGCGAGCCGGAATCGAACTCGTCTGCGCTGGATTCCTCTCGCAGTGCCCGAACCGCTACACCACCGCTCCCCCCACACACACGCATAGCTTCGCACACAACACGCAGCCATTCATATCATCACACACGCCGCTGCTACCCGCACGCACACACAGAGACTCACGCAAAGACAAAGATCCCCCGTATAGCCTCAGCAGACCGGTTATCAGCGAGCTTCTATGAAGGCCGGCACGGCACATGGGGTTGGGCCCCCACACGCCCGACCGCCTTTGTCTCTGATGTGTTTACACATCAGCACTAGGCACACATTTAAGGCTGAGTCAACCTCGTGGAGTCCCAGGACCGGTTCAAATATTGGTCGTGAGAGTCACCGCGTTCGTAGCGCAGTGCGCTAACCACTGCGCCACCGCTACACACCCTTACACACACGCAGACGCGCGCACACACACATGCACACACACACGCAGACTCGCACGCACACACACACTTAGAAGCGCAACCACCCTTATCATCACAGACGCGACCGCTCCCTACACACACACACGCGCGGCAGTCCACACACGGGCAGATACCATCATCACACCGGACACGCACACACACGCACACACACAAAGACAAACACGCACAGCCACTCCTCACAAACACGCCCACCAAAGATCCCCCGTATAGCCTTAACACACTGCAGGGGCAAGTGCTGTTAGCGAGCACCTATGCAGGCCGGCACGGCACACGAGGCGGTGGGTGGCCAGCACCACGCCCGGCCGCCTTTGTCTCCCCAGTGGAGAAGATTTACACACCACACCAGGTACTCATTTGAGGCTGAGTCGACCTAAGAGAGCCCAGGACCGGTTCAAGTGTCCGCCAGTGTTATTGGAATCGAACGCTGGTCACGGGGGGTTCGTAGCGCAGCGCGCCAACCGTTGCGCCACCGCTCTCCACATTCACACCCCACACAGACACACACACACACGCGCAGACTCACGCACATACACACACACAGACTCACACACACACAGACACACACACACGCGCAGAATCACACACACAGACACACACACACGTGCAGACTCACACACAGACACACATACACACACACAGACTCACACACACAGACACACACACGCGCAGACTCACACACGCGCAGACTCACACACACAGACACACACATACACACACACACGTGCAGACTCACACACAGACATACACACAGACACACACGTGCAGACTCATACACACACACAGACACACACGCACAGACTCACACCCCACACAGACACACACGCACAGACTCACACCCCACACAGACACACGCACAGACTCACACACACACACAGACACACACGCGCGCACAGACTCACACACAGCCACAAGCACAAAGACCCCCGTATAGCCTCTTACAGACTGTAGGGGCAAGTGCTGTTAGCGAGCACCGAAGAAAACCAGAACGGCACACGAGGTGGGGGGTCAGCACCACGCCCGGCCGCCTTTGTCTCCCTTAGTGGCGACGATTACACATCGCACCGGGTACTCATTTTTAGTCGAGCACGCACGCGAACTCACCATCACACCCCCCAGCGCAGTGAGCGTCCCCTCGCTAACCCCGCCCGCATCCACGCGCACTCATCCCCCCGCCTCCCTCCACCCGTGAAGCCGCCTCCTCTGCCCCCTCCTCCTCCTCCTCTGCCCCCTCCCCCGCTCGTGTTTGGCACGGAGCGCACACGCGACGCGCTCCGCAGAGCGATCGGCAAAGCCGCCGCCGCTGTTTGGTGGAGGTAGTGGCAGTGACAGCGAACGCGTCTCTCTGTCTCTCATTCCCGAAGTCGCACTCTCTCGCTCGAGTCGCCCGGCATCGTCACAACGACTCGGGCTGACCACGGACACGGCTCCACTGCGCTGGAGAAGAAGCAGCAGCGGCGGCAGCAGCAGCGGCAGTCATCGGAGTTTTTGGTTGTCGGCGAGCGCCGTGTCCTCCTGGGAAGCGAGAATTTTTGCTGAGTGCGCACAAACAATATATATTGCTCGTGCCTTTGCGCGCGTGTCCTGTGCGTGTGTGTGTGAGTGAGTGTGTGCGAGTGAGTGTGTCTGTGCGTGCAGTAAGTGTGAGTGAGTGTGTGCGAGTGAGTGTGTCTGTGAGTGTGAGTGAGTGCGTGTGCGTGTCTGTGCGTGTGAGTGTGTCTGTGCGTGTGGGTGTGCGTGCGTGTGAGTGAGTGTGCGTGTGAGTGAGTGCGAGTGAGTGTGAGTGTCTGTGCGTGTGCGTTCGCTGTGTAATCATGAACGAGCGGACGGTGGCGGCGCCTGTGATCAGCAGCGCGCGTGCTTAGCTGCGGGCGTTGAACAGGGACGGCCAGTCCACCTCGCAACAACTCCAACATCGTCGTGGTCAGCGTCACCATCCTCAACGGCACCTCGTGTCATGCCGCTCCGTGCCGCGCGTTGAGAGGAATCGAGATGTCTCAAGCGGCCCTGGACGTCATCGGCGCCTGGGGAGGCGATGTAGCCGTCTCTGTGGCCCACGAGTGGGACGATGTGGACCTGCCCGAGCCCGTGTGCCGCAGGAGGAGCAAGAGCCTGCTCGTGACGGACAGGAGGCGACGAGGCGTCGAGCTGGGGCGATTCGTGCGTCGCAGCGTGAACCTCTGCGACTCGAGCGTGAGCGAAAAGGCGAGCGCCTCGGATGGAGAGTGCCCGGGTCCTGTCAACGGCCTCGAGCTGAGCGGATCTAAGGGGAGTGGCGGCGGAGACGGCGAAGACGTTGGTGGTAGTGGAGGTGATGGAGGTGATGGACCAGGTGGAAGAGGAGGAGGTGGTGGTGGTGGTGGTGTCCCGTTCGCAAGGCTGAGAGGCAGCAACACCAGGATCAAGCGATGCACTCGCAGCGCCGACGATGATGAGGACGACGATGATGATGCCGATGACGACGACGACGATGATGACGAGGACGACGAGGACGAGGATAAATATACACTCGAGGAGGACGGCGATGAGAAGATGAAGGTGGCGCATTCGGTCGTGGCCGTACGTCGCAGGAACTCAGCTGCGGTAACCTTCAAGAGTAGCGACGACGTGAAGCTGATCGTGAACGAGTACGCGGGGCCCGAAAGTCAGGAGAGCTCGGAGAGCGGAGACGATGCCGAGACCCCCTCGGTCACGGTGGAACCCCTCGACTCAGCAGATGGCACAGAGAGGATCCAGCAGCAGCAGCAGCTGGAGGTGCCAGAAGACCCCCAGTTGCATCTTGAGCAGCAACAGCAGCAGAATGAGCAGCAGCCGCAGCAACAGCAGCAGCAACATCCGCAGAAGCAGGAGCAGCGGAATACGCAAAATAACGACTCAGACGATGAAGAAACGGACGACGATAGGGGCATGAAGGCGGTGGACACCTCGCCTCGAGGGCGATTTCTCAAGTTCAGCATTGAGCTGGGCCGCGGCTCCTTCAAGACGGTCTACAAGGGTCTGGACACGGACACGTGGGTGGATGTGGCGTGGTGCGAGCTGCAGGTGAGTGCGGTCGCGAGGGTCGGGCGTGGGGTTTGGCAGCTGGAGCCGGCGATGGTTGTGAGCCTGAGTTAGAATCCGTGATTGATTAAACGGGGTTCTTGGGTGTATTACACTGGTCAACAAAAAAAAAAAAATTCTGGCCTGGAATTTTGCAGTTGTTTTAGACTAATTTCAGGGTGCTGATTCCAAATCTGATCTCAGATTTGCTCTATCACATCTCATTTTATGCTATCGGCATACCCCATTTTCATTGATTTTACCCGAAATTAACTCTGTCACTTATGATTGCAAGTTGGTGTGAGTCAGTGACTGCTTTAGTGTTAAAATATGGTGCTGTATTTTTAGGATAGTGTGTTTATAATATAATTTTATGTAGATATCCACATTTATTTAATATTTTTCTTGTGCAGTTTTTATTGAAAACGCAATATTTGATATCTCAAAAACCTGATGTGATAGACACAAACTGATGCCAGATGTGGAATCAGCACCCCAAAATTACCTTAAACCCGTTGGAATACCTTATGCCAGAAAGAGTGTGTTGACCAGTGTTATTATTTTTTTTTACCAGGTAAGGCCCACTGAGCTGTGTTAGCTCTTTTTAAGAAGCGACCTGGATATCACGAATGATATCTCAACGAGGTCGCTTAACATCACGTGGGCATTTTACAGCAGCCAAATAACTCTTAACGCGTGTTTCTAAATGTGGAGGGCAAAAATCGGAGGACCCGGAGAAAAATCCACGCGACCACGGGGAGAACTTGCAAACTCCATTTGTACAGCAGGCATCAGGGTCGGGATCGAACCCACGACCTCCTGCATACCAGAAAGGAAGTTAACATCTCGCCACCGTGGCGCCCGCATACGAATAACTGTACAATCCCCAATTAGGGCTACTACTGTAATGTGCAGTTTAGGAAAGTCACGGGGGTGTAACTTAATTTAGATCAAATTATGTTTTGTTTAAATCAAGTTTCGTTGTATTCTTCCCTCTAAATTGTATTCTCGTTCCACTATTGTCTCGTGTCAAGTTCCCATGAGATTAATAAACCCCCAATTGGATTGTTTTGCAGTAAGCATTGCACCACCCTGTGCCAGAGATGACCCCACAAAAAACGACTTCTGGTAGCCTCTTGACCCGCCCTAGAGGCACAACTTTCAGGGTGCGCCGCCTGTTAAAGAGCGTCATTCACATGCTCGTCGAAGCAAAATCGTGAATTATGAGAGTTTGAAATTGAGAGCACTAGCTGGTTATATATATATATATATGTGTGTCGATGCCTAAGGTGTGTTAGATGTTGTACAGTGAAAGATGGCTGGGGATATGGCCATGCATTTGCTACACTTGAGAACCCGGTTTAACCTGTGATGATTGCTCAGCGTTCAGATATTACTGTCCCTAATGGAGCTCCATGAAAACGTATGAGCCCATCCTCTGCTATCTACGTTATGTTCGTCAAGAAAAAACAGGGCTTATGGTCTCACTCAATGTGTGTGGGTTTTTTTTTAATTCTGGATCGCTGCTGTACCGGACTAGGTGTGGCACGTGACTCGTAGTCGTAGCCGGAGCGCGAGAGAGCGGAGTGCTCGCTAACAGCACTTGCCCCCACCAGCCTGTGTAGGCTATACGGGAGGATCTTTGTCTTTGGTATACTGGATGTGGTGGGAAGGGTGCAGACATATTTTCTCGGTCGCTTCCCCCCCCCGGACAGACCCGGCTGAAATGAACGAATGGCCTCCCCACCCACAGCGACACGTCGATGCAATTTAAAGCCGCTTTGCAAGGTGGCCAGGAGATGGCGGTACAGCAGTGGATTATAGAATCTATTTGTGCCGAGACCTTGGCTTTCCTACCCCTTTAAATCCTTCTTCACTTTTGTCCCCACTCCGTTTTCCTTTGCACGTGAAGCCCAGCTCGGGCTCGTGAACTGCAATGGGCGGAACATTCCAGTTGCAGGACCCTCCTGCAATTACTCTCTGAGCTTCGTTGAGGCTTTTCTGGAGCTATATAAAGGGAATTATTATGATCTTGTTATAACGGTGGTTCTGAACCTGGGGTGCACGCACCAATGGGGAGGGGGGGGGTGAGATGCCCTTTCTGGGGGGGTCCGAGACATGGCCAGATTTAGTTTTAGAAGGTAAATCATCGAAACACAAATTAAGCACGCGCAGGTAAGTACAACCACTTTGTTTCATCAAACCCTACGCATTTATTTTTGTAACAATTGAGAACCAAAGGAGTGCAAGTCTGCAGTAAAGATTAAGAACCACTGTGTTAAAACGACGGCTTTTATTTGAACCCACGCGTTCAGAACTCGGTGTGCAATTGCTGCAATCGTCTGAATGAATTTACGGAATGAATGAAGAAAGGGGATGCTGAAACCCTCCCGTAGCGACCGGCAAAAAAGACGCGTGGCCCATCGGGACGACGCTTGTTGCCTTCTCTCCCGACACGCCTTTCCTCGCAGTATGTCGTGCATCGTATAAAACGATAGCCAGTGCCGTAGCGTAGCTGACGTGGGTCCTTGTGGAAGGAATGAAATTGGCCACCCGTGTCGGCCTTCCCCCCTCCCCCCTCTCATTTGTCTATCGGGGCCTGGGCCCCCGTCCGGTCCGTGCGCTCCGGTGCAGCTGCACAGTCTGCACAATACTCTGTAAACACTTTTTATTTTACCAGGTAAGGCCCACATATAGCTCTTTTTTTCTTCAGAAACGACCTGGCACACAAATGATAACTCAAAAAAGTGTCTCATCACTGTGGAATTATGTAGCAGTCAAATACTCTGAACGCGCGTTCATTCTAAATGTTGGAAGGAAAAACCGAGATGACCTGGAGAAAAAGCCATGCGACCGCGGGGATAGAGGGAGGCAGGCAAACTTCAAATATACAGCAAGCGTCAGGGTCGGGATCGAACCCACGACCTCCTGCATATCGGGCGAGGTAGTTAACATCTCCTAGCCACTGTGATGATGAAGAGAGAGACACGTTAACTCCAAATACACAGCAGGCGTCAGGGTCGGGATCGAACCCACGACCTCCTGTATACCGGGCGAGGTGGTTAACATCTCCTAGCCACTGTGATGATGATGAGAGAAACACGTAAACTCCAAATACACAACAGGCGTCAGGGTAGGGATCGAACCCACGACCTCCTGCATACCGGGCGAGGTGGTTAACATCTCCTAGCCACCGCGGGGCCCTCGACAGCTACACCCGCTGCATGCGAGGGCTTTCTTGGCAAGCTCCCGCTTGAGCGAAAAGAATCAACATTTTAAAGATAAGAATAGGGTTCTCCCTTTTTTCTGGCAACAAAACTGAAACCTTTTTACGAGGAATCATGTCTGAATTAACCACAATACTTGTGATCAGAATGCAAACAAGAAACATACTCTGATAATATATGCATTGTCCTTGAAACTGTATGAGATGAGGCTCAAAATAAAACTGTCTCTGGTGTGGACCAATCCGTTTCAAGGACAATGCATATATTATCAGAGCATGTTTTTTGTTTGCATTCTGACCGCAAGTACTGTGGTTAATTCAGACATGATTCTTCGTAAAAAAAGGTTTCAGTTTTGTTGCCAGAAAAAAGGGGCAAAAGCTATTCTCATATTTTGGTACTGGCAAAGGAGGTCCCATGAGGATCAACATTTTAAAGTTGAGGATTTGATGAGGACACTGGCTCACGTCTCCTTGACAAACGCCTTGCATTCTTCGAATTGGCCAAAACATCCTAAATGCAGGTTGAAAAAACATCCCTCTCGAAAAACCGAGTGTCCGAGAGGCTGGATAAGTGGCTGAATGGAGGGCATTATTGTGCGATGACTTGATGAACGCGTGCAGTCGATACTCGCAGCATTCACTGCCGCGCAGTCTGGCAACGCGCAACTGCAGAGAACCAAAGCAAACACTCTCTCAACGCGTATGTATTTATGTTGAACTTCTTTCGCACCGTACGTAGCCAATTGAAGGTGCGGGGGTAGGACAACAAACTAAACATAAAAACACAAATGAGTTTTCAATCTATATTTAAAAGCGCGTAGCTCCAGTGGCTTCCTAATATCGGGAGGAAGAGCGTTCCAGACGGCCACAGAAGCGCATCTGAAAGCGCGCGATGCGGTGACCGCGTTTCTTCGATGGCCACCTAAAAGCCGCTGCTGCTGCTCCTGCGATGATGACGATGATCGGAGTTCGTGTGACTGTTGAAGGCTCCTTGACGAGATGAGCACATGGTAAACTCGTGCCGCCGGGTTCATGCCGAGGAGAACTGCGTGGAACAATGCATTCGCTATCCCGTGGAGCCTTCAACTGGATTTCGAGCTGAAGACATCCGTCATTCATAATTCACTTGCTCAACAGATCGCTTCGGCAAGACGTGCGTCGTAAAACCCTCCTCCACACGGCACGGACAAAACGCGCTAAATATCACGACACATTTTACTCGCGCGGTCTGACCCACAAATCAGTGGCGCGGCTTAACGTTGGCACGCGCGGTTCGTCTTCGACGTCCATATTTCATCCGCACGAAAGAAAAAGTAGAGAAAGGCATGGAGGGCAGGCAGGCGATTGCCCCGGGTTAGGGTGAGCCACGTGACTCATGTGCCCCATGGCTACTCAGTTTGTTGTACTTGCCACGCAGCGATTAGCACGGTTGGCTACGTACGGTGCGAAAGAAGTTAAACATACATGCGTGCTTGCCCCATGCAAACTTTACCCCGGTACTCGATGTATAATAATTCACAGCCCTTTGTCAATCCACGATCAGAATATTTATTTATGCTGGAGCATAAATAAATGTGTTTTTTTACAGGTGTCCTGTTGAATATATTTTCTCACGAACCACTGCGGCTTGGCGTGGGATCTCACCGCGGCAACCGGCGGTATCAGCTGCGGCTGTCTGTGCGGTCCCGAACTCGGCTAACCAGAGTTGTGAGCACAAGCGCGCTATCCACCACGGGGGCCACCACTCCGCCGCTATTATCGGAGCGGCGATGCTGTA